TGAAGTGTGGGACTTGTTTCAAAATATGTGGGGAGGGGAAGAATTGGGAATGGGACAGTAGAATGATGCAGAGGAGGCAGTCACCCGCAGGGCCCTGGGAACCATGGGAAGACATGGCACCACTGTCACATATGCTTGGAATTTCTCCAACATTTTTAAAGGAACAAGTTTCTTGGCAATACCAAAAGCGGGGAATTTCTCACTGGTTTTTCTCCCATCAGTCCCCTACTATGTCTGGAGGTCCCCTCTTTCATAATTGAGGAGTCCCATAACTTCCTGCCTCCTCTTTTCAGGTTGTTCTTGGGCCCCATTCTAAGACTCGGGTAGCCCACCAGAAACTAGGATAAAGGAACGATTGCCACCCTCACCCTAAGTAGTCCATCCAGCTTTGCAGACTGTCTCCTTTAGGTAAAAGTAACCCTCGTAGTTTAGCACGTGGCTCACACTACACTTAAAAAGGCCCCTCTCAGGGGGCAGTGGTGGCGCATACATTTAATCTCAGGGCTCAAGAGGTAGAGGTCTCTGTGAGACCTCTGTGAGGTCTCACAGGTCTCTGTGAGTTCGAGGCCAGCCTGGTCTACAGAGTGAATTCCAGGACAGGCTTCAAAAGGTACAGAGAAATCCTGTCTTGAAAAACCAAAAATAAATAAATAAAGCAACAGATGAAGAGTATTTAAAAAGACTTTATATTTAAAAAGGCCCCCCTCTTCCTGTGTTTTCTAATTCAAGAGCCCAGGATAAGTCTTTTAAAAGTGGGCATGGACAACTGTACTAGGGCCAAGCATTCAGAAAGATAAGCTGGCTCTACAGAAAAGTCTTGAAGAGAAAGAACACGTAGCAGATGGGCAATCATTTCACCTCCTTAACAAGATGTTCAATATAGACACCATGCTAGGTCCAAATAAAACCTTTGAAAACCCACCCTTACCCCTGAGGTCCTTTCCACTAACTGTTCCAGCTCACACAGTCCTGGCTGACTGAGGAATGAATGCACAGGCCTGCACTGAGGGCTAGCAAGAGGCAGCCTTTCCATTCCTCAGCTTCGGCTGGCCCCAGCTCATTTAACTGCATTGTCTACTTGGAAAAACAAAAAGAACCCACAAGGTCTTAGTGAAGGTGTGATTGAGATTTGGCTACTGTTCAAACTCCCCAGAAGTGTGCTTATCTATCAGAAACCCTTTCTCCTTTCAAATGTGCACAGACATGAGCTCTCCCTCTGAACAGCTACATAAATTAACACCAGGGTGAAAGCTATGTCTCTACCTCCTCTTCTAGCCCTAAGGGGTAGGTAATCAAGCTAGGGACTAGGGTGGGGTGGGAGAATTGGCTTTCATCCCATTTCCAAAATATCCCTAAGCAATGGAAAAGTGGGCATATCATCGTTGGTATGTGCCATTGTCCCCAAATGCACAGATGAACCTTTTTTTTTCTCTCTCTTTTTGTCAGTATCATGTTCTTACCCTCTCTTCCCAGGAGACTGAGTTTCCACTCCATGGAGCCTGGTGACATTCCAGGACAGAGTAGGCTGGCAGAGTTGGGCACAGGGATCAGTTAACTGCAGCAAATAAAGACTTTCAACTTGACCTTCTGAAGCTTTATTGCCTCATCACCACAGCTTCTTTGCTTTGGCTGTGTATTGATTTTTTTGGGGGGGTGGGGTTGAAAAACTGTTTCGTTTCTTCTGAGATAATTACAGCCAACAGGCAGCTTCTTTTCCAACTTGCACTATTTGGCTATTACAGAATCACTCCAAGCTCCCCCTGAGACAGGACCCTGGTGTGGTGATCATCTTTCCCCCATAATACTATTGCCCCTGTCATCTCCCAGCATGTAGCTGTGGGGATTTTATTCCTATTTGCCTTTGCACTGCGCCCCCCCCCCCATATACTTTCTCAGTTCCTTGTCAATTGTCCTGATTTCTCTACCACTCGTCAAAATATCACTCCTGAAATGATCTGTTTCTCCAGGATAGTAAAAGAAACTCCATAAAAGCAGTTCAAGCCAGGTGGTGGTGGAACATGCCTTTAATCCCAGCATTGGGGAGGCAGAAACAGGAGGATCTCCTAGTTTGAGGAAAGACTGGTCTACAGAGAAGTTCCAGGACAGTCAATGCAACATAAAGAAAACCTGCCTTGTACCACAAAAAAAAAAAGAAAGAAGGAAAGAAGGAAGAAAGGAAGGAAGGAAGGAGGGAAGGAAGGAAGGAAGGAAGGAAGGAAGGAAGAAGAAAGCAGTTCGAGAATCAGTGACCAGGTGTTTCACTTGGGGTTTTTAATTTCCTCTAAGTATAATGCTCTTTTTAACACAGTGAATAAGCCTATGGAAACCCATTGTCTCCTTATCCGCCCCCCCCCCACCTTAGTGATAGCCACTAAGCTTGTACTTGTACCATGTGATACAAGTCCAGCCTCCTCTTTCATTCAGTGTTCATCTCATTGGAAAGTCGGGTTCATATCATCTGTGGAAGAGGAAGGGATATTGGACCCAGTCAGGAACCCAAGCCCAGCAAAACGATTGCTATTATGGAAGCAGGCACGCCTTGGCCTTCCCTTGCTCATCTGTTCATTTGCCACCTCCCATTGTTCTAAGCTGTCTTAGGTTCATTCATAACCATGATTTGGTTTCTGTCCATTTGCAGCTTCTTTCCTTGGCCAGTCTCTGCTCATGATATGGTCACTGGTCACAGCTTAAGTGACTTGTCAAACATCAGATTGGTCCTGATGTTCAGCTCCAGTAATCTGTCCAAAACTCTTCTATGGCTGCACAGCTGGCCATAGCGTCCCTGGCATTGTGTCCCCTCCAAGATAGCCCTGCAAGCTACCACCGAAAACACATAAAATAGTCCACACCTTTTTAGTCCAGTTTACTTTGACTCTGCCATTTTCTCATGATGCCTCTTGTTTTGATAGCACAATCATGTACCTCTATTTGCCTAACCTCTCCACCACTTTCCACGTTGAGACAATCTCTCACTATGCAGCCCAGCTTGGCTTCAAACTTGTGATCTTCCTCTCTCCACGAGTGTTGGAACTCAGGTATATCCCACACTCGGTTTTTAAACTCCCTCTCCTGAGGATAACTGCTACCATTGGTCAAGCGCTTTTTGCTGTGTCTGATATGTTAGACACATCATCTCTACTTTTTCTAGTATGCTATTCATGTTCATTTTACAGACTCAATATATTAAATGCTGACCTTAGGGTCACAGGGTTAGAGTGTGACAGTTCATTACCTCAGTTGTCTCATTTATATCATCTAATGAAGGGCCAAATTTGAGTGAAGGCAATGTTAGCATCCACACACTAGAAACAGAAACTTGAATGATGGTGCCTCAACCTCACTTTAGAAACCTGCCACCAGGTGGCAGCATTTTGCCATGTTCACGGTCTGGTGTTCAGAAAAGCTGGGACCTCACTCAGAAATGAGACATATTCTCTTTATGATTAAAACACGTGGAGAGCTGGAAGTTTATTGAATCTTTTTAATAAGAGCCCAACTTAACCTTAACTGTAAAGTTCCCCAATTCGGTTTTCTATTTCTGTTTTTCTTCAAAGCTTAGATATATTTTCCATATTAATATTCATAGGAACCAGCTCAGCATGGTCCACTGATTTCATCTTGAATGGTTCCTAAGGCCCCTGAGCTAACACCGGCTACAGACATCAACACAGTCCCCAGCTGCAATTGAACTACAGATGCAGACAGGGCCCTAGGTAACATCTTGAGTTCGGACGACATCCTGACTCTGGGTGGAAGCACTGGCTACTTAGGTAGGGATGGTTCTAGTGGCTGCATGGCCACTGGACACCTCCAAGACCTCAGGTTGTGGCCCCAACCAGGCATGGGTTTCTATGTGATCTTTGATGGCAATATGGGACTCGGATATCAGCACAGACCCCAGCCGTGGTAGGACCCGGACCCAGACATGGTCTGCGTCAGCAGCTGAGTCTGGATGTCACCAGTGGTGGCTTTGCCTTTCCCTGGACACCACAGCAAGAAAGCTGGCCCCACCCTCACCACAGGTGAAACCGACCCTGAGGACATGGGCTGAGGGGAGCTGACTGTGCCCCTTGCCTGGGGTGGCTAGGACGGACCAACTCAGCTAGGATGGACCACAACCGGGCTTTGAGTTGGCCCATCCTAACATCTACCCACCTGCTACCCTCCATGACTGGGGCAGCCTCGGGATATCCCGGGGTCCAGTGATGATCCAGAAACCAGACTAGTGACTCATTGTAATGAACATTTGCTACTAAAGCTGACAGGACAATAGTGTGCTGTATGACACATGGAGACCCCCAATGCCACCAGGTGGAATGAAGAGGTGTTGGAGAGGTGGGAAAAGAGAAGGAAAGACTTTTGTTGTTTTTGGTTGTCTACTTGCTTTCTTTGTTTTCTTAGTATTATTATTACTAAAACTAAAATACCAAAGTTGGCTTCATCTTTAGCATTTCTACTCTAGCACTACTTTAAGGCTACGGCAGGGACAGACAGTAGTGGCAGATAATCCAAAGCAAACACTGTCCTAGAGCGCCAGGAACTGTGGGGAATGGCACCCCAAGGAAGAAACCCTCCCATTACATCCCAGTGAGGCACTTACACCCAAGCTGTGCGGTGTGCTCTCGGTTTATGGCTGTAGCGAGCAGTCACCATGCTGGATGGGCCTTCGGTGATGCAGGTTCCTCTGAGTCACTTCCGCTCCTGTGTGCAGCCCCTCCCCCATTGTCCCTGGTTCACCAAGTTATACTTTAGTGCTGTCCTTTATAGTCTGTTGTGGGTTCCCAATCCAGGGAGAGTAGACCTTTACAGTTCCAGTCAAACAGCACCAATGTGGAAAAGAACAGGAGTAACATTAGCACCGCCCCCTTCCTCAGACTGCATCTCACAGTAGTTCTGGCCTCTAGCTCATAGCAATCCTCCTGGTGCAACCTCCCAATGCTGTTACAGCCCACACTTGATCTCTTTTCAGTTCTTTAGTAAGCTTACGTAAAAAAACGTGATCTGCTAAAGACTTCAACTTTATTGAATTAAAAAAAAAACAAACCTTACAACTGATAAAGCAATTAGAACAAAACTAGTAACTAGAGGACTATAATTTAAATAACACAACAAAAAAACCCAATGGTACACTTGGTTTGACCAAATCTGTATGTCCTTTCCATCCTCACAATGCGGCTTTCTAGGTAACCATCAACCACAGGATAGAGAAGTTCCAATGTAACATAACAGGTCCTCTTTCTGCATCCTAGAATACAAAACACTACCAAAACTAAAGCTTCTCTTTACAGTGTTGAAACAGCAAAATACTTCAAGCAGTTTTAATTCTTTCCAGTGGAGCCGAAACCTCCTGAGCCCCTTGCAGTGTCATCCAGTGTCTGAAAAACAAGATAGGAGGAAGGCAAGCCAGTCAGTGTCACAGACTCTCCAGACAACTCACAAACTCTTTGTCCTCACTGTATCACCATCCAAAATGCCACGGTCATCCAGAGGAAAAAACATTTAACAGTCTCACACTAAAAAACTAATTTTGCTTAAATAGTACCAGTCATTTACACTATTTATCTACAAAGAGCACCTTCTCAAACGTCCCTCCTCTCCACTTAACAACACACCATCCACTCTCCACTCAGCAATTACAACACTTACTTGAACTTCTTCTAAGTCCGGATAAAAAATCCGTTCACAAATGAGCTGTGCAATTCGATCACCTTTTTTTACTTCAAAGAAAAAAAAAAACAAAGAAACAAAAAAAAAAAAACAGATTACTATTGATACTTACTGATGTTTTTTCTATCCTGTGTTATTCATTGAGAACTGGGATCAATTTTACTAACACGGGTAACTCAAAATTCTCTTAATACATGTAAATGTACATACTTAACTCACCTTCAAACTTCTCTTTTCCAAAGTTAAACAGCACAACACCAACATTCCCTCTATAATCTTCATCTATGACACCGGCTGGAGGAAGGAATAATGTTACTTTGGTTTATGCCACCAGAACACCAGGTGTCTAAGATTATCTCAAGCCCTCTTTTCCAAAGACTTTCTCAGATTCTTATTCTTACACCTGACAAAGTGAAATCTCACTTTGGTCCTACATAGTCTGAAAACAAATGACATTACAAAAATACAAGAATTTAAAAAGTGTGTCTCAATTTGCCATCCTGCAAGCTTATCAAGCGGTGAGCATCTGGTACTTCAAGCTGGGTGGAGCAGTTACCCTCTCCAACCTTCCAGCTGACTACCCAGTCTATATGCTAAAAGGAGGAGAAAAAATCTGGGCTCTAAGTCTTCTCTGGTAACAGCTTTCACGACTTTCTGATTAAATCAGAGAAACAACACTCTGAAACCCGGTGACATGACTAGAGGGAAAAAGGGAGGGGGGCAGAGCACTTGTGTGAGTTCTTGGGTTCCTAGTACTACTATTACAAACAAACAAACAAAAACCAAAAAAGAGAAAGAAAAGGGCTCTTCTCTGCATAAAGACGATGAGCACTGTGTATAATCTCTGCACAAGGATTAATGCATTCTCGTATCTCCTCATGAAAATGCACTGAGCATCTTGGAAAGCTATCATTGGAAAAACCAGCACTGGAACTGGCAGTGGTTAATCGACTTCAGACTCGGGTTTTCTGTGTCGAGACTCTGGCATGTCATCGTTGGAAGCTGCTTTAGTGAAAATGCTCCACATCTGCCAGATGTGGATTCAGAACAATCTTGCACAGTCAACTTTTCCTTTTGACCCCTATTTCCAGCCTGAGGCTTCTAACAGCCTCTCCCTTCAGTTGCCAACTATGATAAACTTGTACCTAAGAGAAATGTTTTAGATATTCTGCATCCAAGAACATACCACACTGATTTTATGAATAACCTCATACCAACCACCAGGCAAACTAACTTTCCAACTGCATGATTTTCCCCCACACAGTTGTTTTAAGCAGAGTAAAATTTAGAAACAAAGTTGGAGGGGGAAAAAGAAGTTTCCACATAAGAAAATCGGTTATGTCCCTAGGAGACAGAACTGTTAACTTGAAGTAATGTATGTGCCAAACACTGTTGTATGCTTCACACACATAACTTAGCTCTCCTACCCCTCAGAGGTAGGCACACTAATTTCCATTCTATAGGTGAGGATTGCCCCTTTAAAAACCCTATGGAATTTCACTAAAAATATAAAATCTTTTATAACTTTAAATTAGATAATTAAGTGACTATACTTGACTTAGTAAAATTTTAAAAAAATTTTATTGTATGTGTATGGGTGTTTTGCTTGCATAGATGTCTGTGAACCACATGCATTCAGTGCCTTGGGAGGTCATAAGAGGATATCAGATACCCTAGACCTGGAATTACAAACAGTTGTGAGCTGCCATGTGATTGCTGAGAATTGAATCCAGGTCCCCTGGAAGAGCACTCAGTGCTTTTAGCTGCTGAGCCATCTCTCCAGCCTGTAAAAAGTAGTTTTGAAAATTAAATGTAACTCACTAAGCCCTGGGATTTCTCAATCCAAGAGAGGACTGTAAATATCAACCTTGAGGCTATACAGAACAGCAAACTATTTTGAGGTATCTGCCTTGCCCCACAGCACCACCTAGTGGCACCATGGGAGACACCAGTACTTTCTAAAACAGGAGGCCAAGGGATAGGCAGGTGTCTGGGCAGCCAAGCTTCATCTTATGCTTAATTAACCCCCACCCATACTGGTACAGAACAGTAAACAGAGGACAGTGAGATGGGGCAGCTTTTATTCCCCAGAACAGTGGTATTAGAAACACATTTCTAAGCCAGTTTTCTCATTTAAAAACCAAAACCCAAACCCATCTTGACAAGGTTCTGTAAAAAACAGCCGCCAGATAATCTAGCATACCCACACATCTGAGGACCAGTGTCTCTGAAGTAAAATACTGGATGAAGACAAAGACAGGTCAGGATTCTGGCACAACAGTGGAGTAATGTGTCCTAATAAGAGACCAGAAACAATCCTATCAAGAGGGCCTACAAAGATAGCTCAGTGGTTAAAAGCACTTGCTGCTCTCACAGAGGACCCCTAGGATCAGTTAACAGAGAACTCATGGCAGCCCACAGCCTTCTGCAACTCCAGGTCCAGGGGATGCCTTCTTCTGGCCTCATCTAAAGACCCAGGCATGCACATGGCACATACACACACACAGGCAAAATGCTCGCATACACTAAAAACACACATAAAAAAGAGCCTATCAGGAAAGTGAAGATTCTTTACATGTAGAGGCACAGTTAGAAACCCTATAGCCAGAATGGCTACCAGACGACACTGTCACAAAGGTAACAAGAGAAACAGTGTCACTGAAGACACTTTTAAGAAATGTAGAAAAGTGCCATATTTTGTCTTCATACTGTGGGGGGAAAGTACCTTGTTATATTTTGCAAAACAAGTATGGCCTTTCTTCCAAAGCTAAGAAAATTCTTACAAGCTAGATCTGTCTTTCTAGAACCTTTTGCTAACTAGTTCAGAAAACAATAACTACAAGGTTTTCCCAGTCTATGAACCAATTTTGTACTAAATACAGATTCTCAGTACAACAAGGCAAAACCCTTTGTTGGATAGTGCCTGTTACTAGTAAAATAACATGTATTTCATATGTGATCAGTAGAAATTAGACATTATCAAACAGTATCTTAAACTATAGTATTGTTGTCTATCAGACCTAGAAATTCCTAGTGGTAAGGATTCTACAACAAATAGGATAAAGAAATAAATGTTACCTCCTACATCTATGAAGTGCTTTACTGCCAAGCCAGAGCGTGGAGCTGAAAACAAAATTGGAAAAACAGTGGTTATTTTAAATGGTAAGGAGAAACAGACATACTATTTTTGATATAACAAGTACCATGGTCTCCTCTAAGGTTTATATTTCCACCTTAATTTCAGGAGATCATTTTTTTCTTTTTTTTTGGGGGGGGGGATTCAAGACAGGGTTTCTATGTGGCTTTGGAGGCGGTCCTGGAACTCGCTCTTGTAGACCAGGCTGGTCTCAAACTCACAGAGATCTGCCTGTCTCTGCCTCCCAAGTGCTGGGACTAAAGGCGTGCGCCACCTGGCTCAGCAGATCATTCTTAAAGAACACATTTACCATATACTATACCACCAAAGAAAAGACTAGTTTAAAAAAATCTAATGTCGTTTTAATTCAAGACAAACGCAGAACACAGCCCCATGACTGGTGGCAGTACAGAAACAAGCAATGGATTGCTGGAATGAACTGGAAAGTGAGAAGTACAGCCCAATTTGAAGGATTCTGACTAGTGTTTACATCATATCTACTTACTATGACTGCGTGTGTGTGTGTGTGTGTGTGTGTGTGTGTGTGTGTGTGTG